CCCCGCAGGCATCGCTCCAAGTGCGCCTCAAGCCACCCTTACGGCTTCCTACCCAGTGACTCCAGGCACGTAAACAAAAACACTCGCACTCGTTCACAGTAAAATGGGTATCCTCAAACGGAACGCGTGCCCAAGCCTGCCCCTCCTCCATCCCCACCTCCAGGAAGATCCGCTTCTCCTGCTTGCGCCCGCCAGCGTTACACTGGGTGACACACAAGACGGGACCCAGGTTCAACTCCACACCCCGCACGGCCAAAAAAGCCGTCACTGATGAATCCTCAGTGCGAGAGATGTCGCTACACCTCGGTATCTGCAGTTGTTGGGTGGGAAATCCATCACAATTCTCCCGGGCCTCCTGGGCATGGTGCCACGCAAAGCCCGGCCGCCGCCACCATCAACCAACAACAAGTCGAAGGCACCAACTTACGGCTACTGGTTTCCCCCTCCGCAAAGCACCGAGCCCTGGCACCACGGCAAGGCCGCCCAGGGCCTCGCCAAGGGCCATGTGGGTGAACACAGAAACCTTTGCAAATTGGTGGAGCAATGTGTTCTGTATTATGCGCAATGAACGAAACCCCCAACACCTAGTGCAATCAGACGTTTGTGTGCAAAAACATAGTACAAAAACAAATATATGTACAGTGCTGGTTGTAATGCCGCAACACTGGGAAATACCCGCAGGGTCGCACATTATTCGCTGAAATGAGTGACAAACACTTGCAATACCCTCAATGATGGTTTTTCATATAATAAAATAAGTGATTCGCAGTGACGCAGAATAAGAAGGATAGAGAAGCCCATTGCAATTTGTCACTGATTTTTCTTCATCTAGATGTTCTGGGTGTCTTATATTTGAATAAGTTTCCATATGGTTCATAATAGAGTCATGGGTTCTGGACTGCTTCTGGATCGTCACTCCATACAAAGTAACATAAGATGCAATAATAATTTGCATTCCCTGCTTTTTTGGTGTCTCACCCTCCTCATCATTGCCCTTAGCAGCGTGATAATCATAAAATCCTTCTATACATTTACCTGCGCTTCTGGAGGCAAATCATCTAACAACAATTCAGTCCATTTGCACCCATTTTCCCAAACAGCCTTGATGGCAGTGTGCTTAACTTCATTCTTGCTTCGGTGCAAATGCTGCAGAGAGCCACGGGTTCTTAGACAAGACGCCACCGTACTTAGTCCCGCTTACGACACTATTCGTAATCCATGCTGCAATAATGTTTCTCTACATACAAAAAAAAACGGGAAAACATCGTTTCTTATTACATCTTCCGTTCGCGGCATAACTGGTACATCGTACAACTCTGTCCATGAATGCAGTTCCCCCGGAAATGAAAGCGGCGCGACAACAATAGGTAATAAAGACCTATTGGCTTCATTTCCAATCTTTCACAAAAGCCCCATTAGCTCTTACAAAAAAACCAGATACATAAAACTGTTGCGTATCAGCAGAAGGTTCTGACTCTGACAAACCTGGTCGCAAGGCTACGCGCCATTGCCCGCAGCTTTCGGCGAGTGCCCATACACATAAGCAACGGAAAGAAAAAAACGGCAGGCGTTTGAACATACACGACGCCCGCTACGTCACCCCCGAACTCTCCGCATGCCCCGCAAGCCCCATACTCCGAATGCGGGCGTAATCGAACCCGCGGGGGGAAGAACGGCGGGCGCGCCGGGTCTCGGGCTGGCCGGCCAGACAGAGCGGGGCACTCGCGCCAAGGGCGGCGTGGGGTGAGAAGGCTGAAAAAAAGAAAAAAGTACTAAAAACGAGGGACGGTGCCTCGAAGCAAATCGACAACAACAACCGCGGCGGGGGCGCATTGTCGGGGGTGTAGGGTGCCGGCGCCGTTTTCGAGGTTGGTTTTGCGACCTCCTCGGCATGCTACTTTTTTTTGATCTTGATTGGGCGCGAACTTGGTCAGGGGGTGTTGCGAGTTCTTTTTATTATTATTATTTTTTGTCATTGTTTTCCGTTTTTGTTTTGTTTTGTTTTCTTTTTCTTTGTTTTCTTTTTAATTAGTTTGCTGTGGAAAAAAAAAAAATGGCTGAAAAATATCAGCAGTTGATCAAGCTTATCCTTGTCGGTGATAGTGGAACTGGAAAGTCTTCTCTTCTTCACAGGTTTGTGGAGGATGATTTTTCAGAACAGCAGGCCCAAACAATTGGTGTTGAGTTTGGCTCGAAAATCGTTCAGCTTGCAGGCCGCAAAGTTAAATTACAGATATGGGATACTGCAGGGCAGGAAAGGTACAAGTCTGTTACAAGAAGCTATTATAGGAGTGCAATAGGATGCCTAATTGTTTATGATATTACTCAACGTTCAACATACGAAAGTGTGCCACAATGGCTAAACGATGTTCGACATCTTGCTGGAAAGGATGTTGTTGTTATGCTTATAGGCAACAAAAGTGATCTCTCTGATTGTCGGCAAGTGCAGCACAACGAGGCCTCTTTGTACGCTCTTGAAAACGGTCTTCTCCACTTTGAAACTTCCGCTGCTTCGGGGGAATTTGTGAGTGAGTCTTTTTTGAAGGTTGCTAAGATGGGATTGAGCATGACTACAGAAGATGTTAGTATAGGAGAGAATAGGTTGCTGGATGTTCCAGCTGATCAAAACCCTGGAAATGTTTATTCGTGTGTTTGCTAATATATATATATATATATATATATATAACTACCTTATTGTGAGTGCTTTGTTTCTTTTATATTTGCTTTGTACGGAGCTAGAAGTTTTATGTAGTTGCAATTGTTTCTAGTAGTCTTATTACTATGGTTCATAGCAGTATTTTGTTGTTGTTGTTTCGGCTTTTTTCTTGGCTTTGCTAGGTAAATTATGTGTTTTTGTCTTTTTTTTGTTGTTCATGTTTTTTTTTGTGTTGTTGTTGTTGCTTTTTTTCTAAGTAAGGAACAGAATTGATGAAGTCAACTTATGGTCGTCCCAAAGGCAAATCTCAATCGACAGTGGAAAGTTTTGCCGAAAGAATTTTTATTTCGAACCCTCGGTTGTTTAGCTTCTCTCATCGCGTACTTCTGAGTTTGCGTCATCCATACACTGCTGTGGTTGTCGATGTGGTAGATTCGGATCCTTCTCGGGAGAAAGATCGTCTTGAGGAGATTCTTGGTGCTTTATTGCAGTCTCGTGACGAAGAACGGAAGTGGACGCGTGTAGCAACGATGTTTGATTTGAAGCTAACTGCTGAAGAGATTGATGTATGTCGCCGAAAGATTTCTCTGAATCCAGAGATAAGAGTACGTATAGAGAGCCTGTGGACACAGTTGGGGGGTATATCCAATGGTGTTGTTTTGGAGGAGGATTACAAGGCTTTTCACGTTAGCCTTTATTCCTATCTTTTAAAGATTGACAGTGTTAGTGTTGCAACTTCTTCTTGTGCAGCTATCGTGGAGGACTTTACTTATGATAAAAGAGGTGCTGTTGGAGTAGACTTTGGTTCCTTTGCAATTTCCATGCTTGAACTGGCGGATAATTGGACTCGGACCAGAGAAGTTGCAGAATATATTCATTTTTTTAGTGATATTTACGACAACTGTCTAAAAAAAAAGCATTTGCGCTCTTCACGAGAAGTTTTTGTTCCCAACTACAAGGCCCCTGTATATTTTTCAGGCGGTCTTGTCTGTCGAGCTCAAGAAGGTGATAAAGTAGTATTTTCAAGAAAAAGATTTGTGTAATTATTTAAGACAAATCAGATTGAAAAAAAAAAGAAGCAACTTCGTATATATATATATATAACGTATCCTTTATAGATGTCTTTGCTATTGCTTTGTTTTTTACATTATTTATTTCCTTGTTTTTTTTTCTATATATTTTATTTTGATTATGCGTTTTCTTATATTTTTCTTCTACTTTTTTAAAAAGCAGATTCAGCGTACTTTGATGTCAGATTCTACAGAGCAGTCAGTAAGGAAATCAGAGAAGAAAAGTCGGTTTGAGCGGTTTTACTTAGGGCAATATTGTCAACATTCTATATACCCTGTGTTTGCTACGCTGCTCGTGTTGGCTGTGGTATTTATACCCATTGGTGTTGCTATTATTAGGGTAAGTGATTCGGTATTTGAGCTACGTATTCGATATGACGAAACAAATAATTATCAATATGTAATTGGTCCTCACAATCGGTATCCACATAAATTTACGTTTAATAATTCCAAGTTTTCTACGGGAGCCCATGTAACTAGAACTTTCACTCTTTCGAAGAGCCTGGCTTCTCCTATCTACCTACAATATGGGCTGGCTGGATTTCATCAGAATTATAGGCGTTATGCATTTTCTCAAGATCTGGCACAACGATCAGGAGATACACATTCTGTCTCTCAAGCATGTGGGCCTTTTCGATACCCTGGAGAATATCATAAACGCAGGGTTAATGGCATCTACTTTCCATGCGGTTCAGTTGCTTGGAGTATGTTCAATGACTCTTTGAGTTTATATTACTTATCGGATGCATCTAAAGGTGATACTGCTTATAGCGTTTCTGACAGGTCCAAATTGATTTGTGCTGGAAGTGCCTTTGATTCGGAAGGCAACAGCTTAGATAAAAACAATCTTTGCATTAAAAAAGGAATAGCATTGCCTAGCGATGTGCATTTGTTTCATCCTCTAAAAGATAAAGATGCAACCAGCGCGGTCTGGAGATTTGGTGGGGATCCTACTGCAGAAGATCCATATCAAAAAGAAGGATATTACTATGAAGAGCCTGGACACCCAATTCCTTCAATTGTTGATGAGGATTATATTGTATGGTCTTCTTTGTCATATATGCAGGATTTTGACAAAAAATACCGAATTATTACGACAGATCTACTACCTGGTGATTACTTGTTTGATATTGAGGAGAACTTTGATGTGTTTTCCTTCTCTGGTGAGAAATACGTAAGTCTGGTCACACGTTCGTGGATTGGCGGTAAAAATTACGTACTAGGTGTATTGTTTTTGGTTATGGGATGTATCTCCTTTGTTTTGTCCCTAAGCTCTATCATTGTGCAGTGTTTATATTAGGGTGGTTGCTAACGTTTGTCAACCCATAATATAAAATCAGAAGTCATGCTACTTTATTTTGTACAATTTTTCAAAACAATTATCTTATTCACTCTCTCACTCTCATTCTCTTAGTACTGTGTCTCTGTCATGTGCACGTGTCATGTGTTTAGAAATCAATTGTGCGATATATCCGAATATAATATTATTTCTAGCGGACTTGTTTCATAACCTGCATATACATGCATATAATTTCTTTATACTGGACACTCACACACGCACACACGTTAAAAATAAAAACGAATAACAAGACAAAGAACAGCACACCAATTGCATTTTTTTTTATTGCTATGAACCACATTTGGCCCCCTGATTGGGGTGTTGGCCCCCTGATTGGGGTGTTGGCCGCTCATTTTGAGCTGGCATTATTATTATTATTATTATTTGAAGTAACAAATGATCATGTGTATATTTCTGCACAGGTGTATGGAATTTAGGCCACATAACACACCTGTTTTTTATCTAGTGCATCCAGGCCTATTGCTTGTTTTTTTCTGCCTATTTTAAATCAATGCTACTTTATCAAGGTGAAAAAATCACGAAAAACAAGG